GCTAGTTAGCATTGTAAATGTGTGGCCACGTCTGTGGTAGAAAATAATAATAATAATAATAATAATAATAAAAATCGCTCTCTTTCTCTCATCTTATGTCTGTGAGTTGAGCTATAAGTAAATTATTGCTAATTCGTCACAGTTTGCTACAGAAATTGGTGATTTAAACTCTAATAACGTATGGTTAGTATAGATGTTGAATCTGTTTACACACACGTCCCTCCTAAAGTAAACTTCACTCTTGATTTTAACTCTAGAAGATGCTTGCAATTCTGGTTTCAACAGGAAACAACTTGACAAATTGTAATGGCAACTTCTGATTCTGTATTTTTCATTTGCTGGTAAACTCTATTCGTAGGTAGATGAGTCAGCAAGGGGGTGTCGCTCTTGGTCCCCCCTTTTCTAAAACTTTTCTTTGTAATTTTGAGAAACTTTGGATTGAATCTTGTCCTTCGTATTTTAAGCCCATATCCTATCGTCGATATGTAATCAGTTTATGTCTAATTTTAATTCCCCCTATCATATGGATGTTATTTGAGTTGTAAACATTTTAACGTTTAATTTACTTTTGAAGATGAAGCTAATTACAAATTAATGTAGAGTATTAGTCACGATAACGGGATTGAAAACAACTAACCCAGTATACATGTGGAAAGTTTTTTTTTTTAGTTTAATTCATTTATTATGCACCCCATACCTATCTTGTGGGCGGTAGTGGAAAGGGTTACAGAGGCACATAATGGGCTCAGGGACTGAACCCCACAATTCATTTAGCTAAGCAAGTTACAGTCTTGATGAGCTAGTTACAAAATTCAGTATAAGTCGTCACATCAACAATGGGTTCGAGATCGACCACAAGTACAGGTTCTAAATTAAGCAACTGACATATGTGGAGAGCTAGTGTCACAATTGATATGTTTGTCCTGCACACCGCCCCCTATCCAGTGGGCAGCGGTGGATAGGTTACAATCACTCTTAGTTACTACCTGTGGAAAGAAAACGAAAGTGACACAGTTTTGGGTCCGCCCAACCCGGCCTCCTAATAGCACATCGCATTTTGATGTATACTTTATCTAAGGCCAAAAACTAATGTACAAAAAAAAAAATGGCAGCAGCTCCCGAAATAGACGTGACGTCCCGTTTCCTGTTTGTGGGTCCTTGGCTTAGTTGGGTTCGGGCACTTAAGTACAAGAGTTTTGGTGACATTGGGGTAGGCTCAGGAGGGCAGCATATTTACAAAATGGTATCACTCTTGACTAATTTATTGCTAATATTGGTGGCCAGTTCACTTCTCTTTACCGTAAGCTAACATTAACGGCACTAAGATTACATTATTTAAGCTTGTATAATAAACTACGTATTTAAAATCAATGCTATTAAACCCTTAATAAATATAGTTTTTAACTTTTACTCTGATATCATGATATTTTATAGAAAATAATTTGAGAATATTTTAAATTCAAAACAAAATGTCTTATTGAATTTTGAGGGAATTCATATATATGCCTAGAGTTCTAAAAGTTACCATATTTGTATATAATTGTAAACTTGTGACCACCAATAATGATACTGTTACAAGTTACAGAGAGATCCTTTACCCTTTGATCTCAGACCTGGTGATGTTTCCCTTTTTAAAGATCTAGATCTAAAGATGTTCTATGCAGAGGCCATATCTCATACGACACCTACAACTCTACATTTTTTATCAGTTTGGCCCATAGGCAAGCAGCATCCTCCGCAATACGAGAGTATATCTATATAAAATAAAATATATGTCTGTCCGAAGTTGGAGGCCACATGCTATCGGCTAGTCTCATCCAACTTTGTACGGTGATTGCTTTGAGGTAGGCGGTCAACATGGACGAGTTGGGTGTTGCACCACTGCTAAGAGTACAATGTGGCACGGTCCTATAGCAAACCCCACGATATTTTAGCACTGGTTTCTTGCTCGACTCACTAAAGAATACAATTAAAAACTATTATTTTTTCCCTACTATACTGTAAAACATCATACACTAACCTCTGCATAATATAGAAAAATTCTACTCATCAAATTTTGCTTTAGCAAAGCAGAGAAATTATGCTGACATAATATTTATACACACATACACATGCACACGCACACACACATACACGCATATGCACACACACATACACACAACAAAGCAGTTGGCCTAGATGGTGTTTCACCATGGGTTCTGAGAGAATGTGCACACGAACTCAGCATTCCACTTCAACTGACTTTTCAGGCATCCCTGTGTACAGGAGTCGTAGCTGATGTGTGGAAAAAGGCTAACATAGTTTCAATCTACAAAAGTGGCAGCAGGGAAGACCCCTTCAATTATAGACCTGTATCGTTGACAAGTGTAATAGTCAAAATATTGGAAAAAATAATTAAAACTAAATGGGTAGAACACCTGGAGAAAAACGATATATTATCAAACAGTCAGTATGGTTTTCAATCTGGAAGGTCCTGTGTAACGAATTTACTCAGTTTATATGATCGAGCCACAGAAATTTTACAGGAAAAAGAGATGGCTGGGTTGACTGCATCTATCTGGACCTAAAAAAGGCTTTCGACCGAGTTCCACATAAGAGGTTGTTCTGGAAACTGGAATATGTTGGAGGGTTGACAGGTAAGCTTCTAACGTGGATGAAAATTTTTCTAAATGATAGAGAAATGATGGCAGTAATCAGAGGCAATGTATCGGACTGGAGAAATGTCACAAGTGGACTGAACCACCAACTGAACCACAGGGTTCAGTTGTTGCACCGGTGATGTTCATTGTCTACATAAATGATCTACCAGATGGAATACAGAATTATATGAACATATTTGCTGATGATGCTAAGATAATAGGAAGAAACTTAGATGATTGTAATGCCTTTCAAGAAGACCTGGACAAAATAAATATATGGAGCACCACTTGGCAAATGGAATTTAATGTGCATAAATGCCATGTTATGGAATGTGGAACAGAAGAACATAGACCCCACACAACCTATAAATTATGTGAGAAATCTTTAAATATTTCTGATAAAGAAAGAGATCTAGTGGTGGTTCTAGATAGAAAACTATCACCTGAGGACCACATAAAGAACGTTGTGCGAGGAGCCTATGCCACGCTTTCTAACTTCAAAATTGCTTTTAGATACATGGATGGCGAAATGCTAAAAAAATTGTTCATGACTTTTGTTAGGCCTAAACTAGAATATGCAGCGGTTGTGTGGTGCCCATATCTTAAGCACATCAACAAACTGGAAAAGGTGCAAAGACATGCCACTTAGTGGCTCCCAGAACTGAAGGGCAAGAGCTACGAGGAGAGGTTAGAGGCATTAAATATGCCAAAACTAGAAGATAGAAGAAAAAGAGGCGATATGATCACTACGTACAAAATAGTAACAGGAATCGATCAAATTGATAGGGAAGAATTCCTGAGACCCGGAACTTCAAGAACAAGAGGACACAGACTCAAGCTAAGGAAACAAGGGTGCCGCAAAAACATTAGAAAATTTTGTAATTTCTTAATTATCAAGTCGATTACCATTATCAAGTCGATTGTGAGAATGGTCGACTTGAGAATGGTCCAGGACGGACCGAAACGTCGTCGTCTCTTCATTTTCTAGTGTGTGGTCTGGTCAACATTTTTCAGCCACGTTATTGTGACTCCTCGTCTGCGTTAGAAAATTGTCTTATGCAAACAGAGTGGTAGACGGTTGGAACAAGCTGAGTGAGGTGGTGGTGGTGGTGGAGGCCAAAACCATCAGTAATTTCAAAGCGTTATATGACAAAGAGTGCTGGGAAGCGTAGCTTTCATCCTGTAACTACACTTAGGTAATTACATACACACACACACTAGATGGGATACCCGGCCTCTCTGTCTCCGAATCTGTCTTCTATTTCTATCCATCTCTCTCTATGTCTGTCTCTGCATGTCTATAGCTGCATGTGTCTATCTCTGTCTGAAGTATTTATGTCTGTCTCCTTCTTTATCTGTTTCTGTATGTCTCTTTGTCTCAGCCCTTCTCTAACTGTATGGGAGAGAGACAGAGAGAGAAAGATACGAACAGAGAGAGAGAGAGGCAGAGACAAAGAGACATACAGAGACGACCTCTCCTACAAAGAAAGTCATTTTTTTCCCTCGTATGCGTTACATAAGGCCAACAATTTTCGTACTAGAAAATGGAAGCGGCTGGCGAAAGTGACGTACTGTCCCGTTTTCTGTTTTGGGTCCTCTGGTAGGTTAGGATAAGAGGACACTTTAAATTGACCGTTTCCTTGACGTTGGGAAACCTTAGGAGGACGGGTTGCTCTTCCTCCCTCTATCTGTGTCTATCTGTTTCTTTGTTTCTATGTCTCTGTCTCTCTTTGCCTGTGTCTGTTTCAATCTCTCAGATTCAGTCTGATAATAGTCATCATTAGAATGTGTGTGTGTGTGTGATAAGAGATATATAAATAAAGTAAAAAATTACCTGTTTGCTTTGACTGGTGTAGCTGTCTGTCTCTCTGTGCCTGTCTGTCTGTCTCTCTCTCTCTCTCTTTCTCACACACACAATCTTAGAATTGGTCTTATTATTATTACAATTTGCCTCATATCTATAAATAAAATACAATTCACATTTATCTGTTCACTGTGGCTGGTATAGCCGTCTGTCTGGCAGAAAGACATAGCCTGTTTGTCTTCCTGCTTGCTTTTCTGTTTGGCTGGGGGGCCGAAGACATAGCAACAGGACTGAGATTCAAGTCGGAGCGAATTCGTGTCTCTAAACTCCTCAGAAACCGTACGCATTATCCGATGAACCATGATGGGCTGAAACTCGACCAAAATTCCCACCGATTGTACTTGGGGGTTTGGAAGGCACATCGCTGGCATCTAGTAAAGAGCATGACTATGGGGACCAGGTTGGTGCTTTCTAAGAGCATGACTATGGGGGACCAGGTTGGTGCTTTCTAAGAGCATGACTATGGGGGACCAGGTTGGTGCTTTCTAAGAGCATGACTATGGGGGACCAGGTTGGTGCTTTCTAAGAGCATGACTATAGGGACCAGGTTGATGCTTTCTAAGAGCATGACTATGGGGACCAGGTTGGTGCTTTCTAAGAGCATGACTATAGGGACCAGGTTGATGCTTTCTAAGAGTATGACTATGGGGGACCAGGTTGGTGCTTTCTAAGAGCATGACTATAGGGACCAGGTTGATGCTTTCTAAGAGCATGACTATGGGGACCAGGTTGGTGCTTTCTAAGAGCATGACTATAGGGACCAGGTTGATGCTTTCTAAGAGCATGACTATAGGGACCAGGTTGGTGCTTTCCAAGAGCATGACTATAGGGACCAGGTTGGTGCTTTCTAAGAGCATGACTATAGGGACCAGGTTGGTGCTTTCTAAGAGCATGACTATAGGGACCAGGTTGGTGCTTTCTAAGAGCATGACTATAGGGACCAGGTTGGTGCTTTCTAAGAGCATGACTCGAGGGACCAGGTTGGTGCTTTCTAAGAGCATGACTATAGGGACCAGGTTGGTGCTTTCTAAGAGCATGACTATAGGGACCAGGTTGGTGCTTTCTAAGAGCATGACTCGAGGGACCAGGTTGGTGCTTTCCAAGAGCATGACTATAGGGACCAGGTTGGTGCTTTCTAAGAGCATGACTATAGGGACCAGGTTGGTGCTTTCTAAGAGCATGACTATGGGGACCAGGTTGGTGCTTTCTAAGAGCATGACTCGAGGGACCAGGTTGGTGCTTTCCAAGAGCATGACTATGGGGACCAGGTTGGTGCTTTCCAAACACTAAAGGTCAGTAGAACTAGTTGAGATACTCTTAATTCATTACGGTGCTATGACTCTTAGACTCCAAGCCATACGTACTGTCTCAGAGATAAAAACATAGAGTGGAAGTGTTTGCCGTAGCTAAGAGGTGTTATAGACTAAATACAGTATATACGTTTGCTCTTGTGCACATTGTAGACTCCGGAGTGACTTCAGACTTCGACTACAACTGTGGCTTCGCCTGCTATGTGCACACCTAGTTGTACTCATCTAGTTGTGCTTGTGGGGGTTGAGCTCTGGCTCTTTGGTCCCGTCTCTCAACTGTCAATCAACTGGTGTACAGATTCCTGAGCCTACTGGGCTCTTATCATATCTACATTTGAAACTGTGTATGGAGTCAGCCTCCACCACATCACTGCCTAATGCATTCCACCTGTTAACAACTCTGACACTGAAAAAGTTCTTTCTAACGTCCCTGTGGCTTATTTGGGTACTCAGTTTCCACCTGACTATGTGGGATGTGGGATGACTACTCTGTCATCCTATCTTCTAAGATCCTTATGTGGAAACTGGTCAGAATGGCATTTCACCTTTGTAAACGCACATTAATGACATTTTGTAAATAGACACATCGAATACTGTTCATGCAGGGCAGACGTAAATCTGTGTATTCATATATGTCGGTTAGATTAGCATTTTATAAGCACTACATTCACCTTCTGTGGTCGATTGTTCAATAAATCACTGAACTATATGTTTAACAGATCTCTAACCCTGTCCATAGACGACAGAAGAAAATGTATATTTATGCTGGTTAGCATTGTAAATTTGTGGCCACGTCTGTGGTAGAAAATAATAATAATAATAAAAAATGGAATGACTACTGTGACCCTCTCTGGAATACTCAGTATTCCCCCTCGTCTGGAACACCTACTGTGCCCCCCTTAACTGGAACACCTACTGTGCCCCCCTTAACTAGAACACCTACTGTGCCCCCCTTAAGTGGAACACCTACTGTTCCCCCCTTAACTGGAACACCTACTGTTCCCCCCTTAACTAGAACACCTACTGTGCCCCCCTTAACTGGAACACCTACTGTGCCCCCCTTAACTGGAACACCTACTGTGCCCCCCTTAACTAGAACACCTACTGTGCCCCCCTTAACTGGAACACCTACTGTTCCCCCCTTAACTGGAACACCTACTGTGCCCCCCTTAACTGGAACACCTACTGTGCCCCCCTTAACTGGAACACCTATTGTGTGCTCTAGAAAAGGGTCTCCAGTTCAGACAAACAAATTGCGAATTATTCTTTTCTTTAAAAGTATATTTATTGTAATGGCAATTCTTTTTTTTAAATAATATAAATGTATTATATACGTACTTTTTGGCCAATTCATCCTCCAATATTGATAATATGTAACTATGGTTAAAAAAAAGAAAAACTACGGGCTCACCATAGCCCGTGCTGCTTGGAACTTTGTTCCCTATAGCGAATCTTAAACAACAACATATGGTTAAAAATTATCTGTTGGACCCAAAAAGATTCACATTCTGCATTACTGAATTAACTCAAATGGCAAACTAAAAAAAAATGGAATGTAATCAAAGCACTTAACCTAATCTATCCAAGCAGCCCTTAGGCCTAATATAGTACATATATGTGCTATACTAAGCCTAGGAATGCGTTTTTTGTTGACGAAATAAGTAGTACAAAGCGTAAACATTGAAGGCTGCAACAGTCCATTTTTGTACGTTTCACCAATTAGTTGCTCTGACTACTATCGTATTAGGAGGAAAGGTTGTTTAAATTAGCGTATGTAGGCCGTTAATTTTAAATGATGCTTATTTTCTAAATGCTCCTTCATATCTCAGTATAAAAATTAAACCATATGAAATACGCATAAATGTAAAGAAATGTAGATAGATATTTATCCTAAATAATGGGAGGGTTATTAAGGCCTATCAAATACGGGAGGGTTATTAAGGCCTATCAACTACGGGAGGGTTATTAAGGTCTGTCAAATACGGGAGGGTTATTAAGGCATATCAACCATATCACTCGTGGACCCCTACAACCACGTTCTCACCTGTGGACCCCTACAACCACGTTCACACCTGTGGACCCCCATACAACCACTCTCTCACCTGTGGACCCCTACAACCACGTTCTCACCTGTGGACCCCTACAACCACGTTCTCACCTGTGGACCCCTACAACCACGTTCTCACCTGTGGACCACTACAACCATGTTCTCACCTGTGGACCCCTACAACCACGCTCTCACCTGTGGACCCCCTACAACCACGCTCTCACCTGTGGACCCCTACAACCACGCTCTCACCTGTGGACCCCTACAACCACGCTCTCACCTGTGGACCCCTACAACCACGTTCTCACCTGTGGACCCCTACAACCACGTTCTCACCTGTGGACCACTACAACCATGTTCTCACCTGTGGACCCCTACAACCACGCTCTCACCTGTGGACCCCCTACAACCACGCTCTCACCTGTGGACCCCTACAACCACGCTCTCACCTGTGGACCCCTACAACCACGCTCTCACCTGTGGACCCCTACAACCACGCTCTCACCTGTGGACCCCCCTTACAACCACGCTCTCACCTGTGGACCCCCTACAACCACGCTCTCACCTGTGGACCCCCCTTACAACCACGCTCTCACCTGTGGACCCCTACAACCACGTTCTCACCTGTGGACCCCCCTTACAACCACGCTCTCACCTGTGGACCCCTACAACCACGCTCTCACCTGTGGACCCCCTACAACCACGCTCTCACCTGTGGACCCCCTACAACCACGCTCTCACCTGTGGACCCCCTACAACCACGCTCTCACCTGTGGACCCCTACAACCACGCTCTCACCTGTGGACCCCCTACAACCACGCTCTCACCTGTGGACCCCCTACAACCACGCTCTCACCTGTGGACCCCTACAACCACGTTCTCACCTGTGGACCCCCCTTACAACCACGCTCTCACCTGTGGACCCCTACAACCACGTTCTCACCTGTGGACCCCAACAACCACGCCCTCACCTGTGGACCCATACAAGTCCTGTATGCAAGTGAAAACAGTTCAACACACTCGTAATTGTTTTGATCACTTAATTCTAGCTAAATAGAAATATACAAATAAATGGAATTCCCACGGACCCCTTGAAATTCTTCCTTAGACTCCCTGTTGAGAACAACCGAGTCTTGGAGATTAAAATCACTAAACGGTTCCCAACACGGCTTTTATATATATATATATATATATATATATATATATATATATATATATATATATATATATATATATATATATACACACACACACAAAGGCGATGAGGAATTGATTTTTTGATTGTTGCCGCCGGAGGCTGCTAGTTTATTGTGCACCCCATACCCATCCTGTGAGCGGTAGCGCAAAAAAGCATTACAGAGGGCACAAAAGGTCTTTATCAGACCTCAACGTAGATTATTACATAAACAATTTCATCTATCCTTCACACCTTATAATTACAATGTCAGCTAGTTACAGGGAATGTTCTATTTCAAGAACTATATATAAACAGTAAGTCATTATACATACATGGTAGGTCTTATCGCTAATACATAATTGTCTGAGCAGTGGAGATATTAGTCATAGGGGAGCTGCTGTTTATTATTAGTCTTCATAATACACTACTTGTTTCTTAATCTCATATGTCGTTTATCTACTGGAAGCGCAATATGGATACAGTGCAAGGATTTCAGGTATATTATCCTTGGTAATAAGATAGGTTGCCGTATCATACAGCGTGAGCTTAGATTTATCTTTAAATGGCTCAATTTGACTACATTCCAAGATATAGTGTTCGAGTGTGTGTCCCGGTGAGGAAGGCATATCAAATTTTGAGTTTTATTGGCAGAGCTTTTGAATTTGGATAGGAGAAGATTGTGATCTGTACCATCCTTTACGTTATCTTGAGATGATTTCGGGGCTTAGTGTCCCCGCGGCCCGGTCCTCGAACAGGCCTCAACCCCCCAGGAAGCAGCCCGTAGCAGCTGTCTAACTCCCAGGTAACAGGGGCATCGGGGTGAAAGAAACATTTTGCCCATTTGTCTCCGCCTCCACCGGGGATCGAACCCGGAACCTCAGGACTACGAATCCGAAGCGCTAACCACCCAGCTGTCAGACGGGTGTTAGTGTTTCAAATTCTTAACATGGCCGTTGGCACCCTGTTTGAGAAGAGATATTGATAAACTAGAGCATGTTCAGCCCCTCGCGAGCAATTTAGTCTGGATTCGAGCCCTGGCTAAGGAGGATTGCCTAGATGATAATCCTTAACTGTTTCACCCAGCAGTAATTGGGTTCTTGGTTGTTAACAGATTAGCGGGTCGTATTCCAGGAGAAACTAGTGGGCAAGGCTTACTATGAGCTACGGGAAGGGTAAGCTCTCAACTTGCTAACAGGAATCAGAAGTCGTCTGTTGCTGTACCCACCTATAAAGAAACTGCATTTATTCAGTCTCGAAATAAGGAGAATACGAGATGAATTAATACGTGTTTAAAATCATCGAAAAACATAAATGTTAATTATGGCAAATATTTTAATTTTACACAATATTAATGCTCAGGTCTTTAAATTGAAATGAAGCAATTCCATTCTGGTGAGGCTAAATACTTTACCACTTTAATGGAGTGATTAACACACGAAACAGTTTAGCAAGAAATATAATATCTTGTGGTACAGTAAACCCATTTACACTTACATTAGACAAGTACTTATCCACAAATCCACATCTCTCCACGCTTCTAACTTGCCACAAAAAGCCTAATTTAGATTTAATGGTTTGTTGCTGATCGTAATTCTTTAAGCTTGTTATAGTCTTCGTTTTGCACATATAATAAATAGAGTTGAGCATTGTACCAAAATTTCGGACTTACAAATGTTGTGTCGATTTTTAAGGGAGAAAGATCACTTGCGTTAAACTATC